AATGAGAGACCCTGTCTCAAAATACAAGGTAGACGGCACCTGAGGAATAACACCTAAGGTTGACCTCTGCCTTTAAACAAACACACACAGAGAGAGACAAAATAAATACGACAGTATTTAGGACCTATTGGAATTGAGTGCCAGATTTGGGCAACAGAAAGAAAAGCTGGAAGAATCCAGAAGGAATTTCAGACTTCCAGTGTGGGTGATGCTGCCATATAGTGCCACAAGGGTAAATGAACACGCGTTGGCAAAAGCCTGTCTCCTCAGAGAGGCACTCAAAGACACAGCTCAGGCTGGCAGACAGGACACACACGAGAGCAGGCTGTGTATCTACCAGTCATTCCTTTCAAACACCTTTCACTATATGTAACATAAACGAGCTGAGATAATAATCCACAGTCATTTTCGTTCCCTGGAGTTATGTGTTCAAATGCAGTAAGATGTTAGCAGTACTTTGATTGCCGATGCCTGGCATGGGGTTTCCCATTTGACCATGGACATGCACACACGCCCTACAGCATGAACTTCTTGAGGTCGGAGACTTTCTCTCTTGTCTCCATCCGAATTCCCAATACCTAAAACCATAGATGTGTTGGGGTGGAGGGTATTGGTTTTTTTTTAGATGAGATCTCAAGGTGAGGATGTAGCTCCATTGGTAGTGTGCTTGCCTAACATACACAAAGCCTTGGGTTTGATCCCCTGCACCTCATAAAACCAGGCATGAAGGCACATATCCATAACCCCACTCAGGAGGTGGGGGCAAGAAGCCTGCAGGTTCAAGGTCGTTCTTGACTACAATAGCAAATTTGAGGCCAACCTGAGCTAGGAGGCCACACCTCAAAGAAAAAAAGTCTTGCTTGGTAGCCCACGATTGCCTCAAACTCACAACTCTGCTTCTGCCTCCCAAGTGCTAGAACCACACGCGTGGTGCCATACCCGGGTCTGAACCCATGTTTGACTTCTGATGGATAATCGGTAACATGTATTGGTAGATGAATGGGTCTCCATGTGATTGGAAGGAAGCAGTCATCCGTTTTGACCATGAGGGGAGACAGTAGAAAACCAACAGCAACCAACAGGAAAACAGTTTTACACACGCACATCACACACACACACACACACACACACACACACACACACACACACACACACGCACGCACCACAAATGGAGGTGAAGTGATGAGCTATTCCCACCCCACCCCCACCCCCACCCCAGTTGCCGCCTTAGATGGTGGCTTTAACTGCCCGGTTACAAATTCCACAGAGTTATGCGCCTCGGCAGAACTGGCTTCCTTAAACATCTTTGGATCTGTAAAGAAACGCTGCTTTTCTTTATTGATTTCATGCCAGTTCCTCCTTGTGAAAAACCCGGTGTGCTGCTCGCCGGCACATGCGCCCCGAGACCAGAGATTAAGTCGCTCATGTTTCTCTCCAGCCATGTGCTACGGAACCGCTTCTGCTTTCAGGCTGGCGTGTTCGATCATTCTCCCTTTAAACTTAGCAGCGTGACTATCCCCCATGGCGGGCTGCACATATGCTCCTTTTGATCTGTGAAATAGCTCGTTCCCGAGAGGACTTGAAGCTCCCCAGAAACACGTGTAAAATACTGTTTACGATTCGTGGGAGGAATGTCTCATCCTGCCATTACTCCAAAATGGTTGCACCCAGCCACACTCTCTCCAGGCTTCCTTTTTCTCCGAGAAGAGGGAAAAGAGAACTCTGGGCTGCAACTCTATGATACTAAGAAAATGAGAATTACCCCATTATAAACAAGTTCAGTGTCAACCATTTACCTCGAATGGGATAGGGTGCGGGGCCATGACTATGGAGAGGGGGTGTGGCTTGGTTCCTGTCCTCTTACAAGTTAGTGGAGGACACAAAACATACGCTCCAAAGTAAAATGCACAGCTGTTCATTAACAACATGGCCAGTCAATGCCGCACAGGGTTCAGAAGGAGACAGGCTGGCTAGACTGTAGTCCTAAAGGCAACGGCCTTGAACCTGAGCCGGCTCTTCAGTGGAGGCACCTAGTGAGACAAGGCAGGATGGAGGGATCATCCGTGTACACTGTCCCAACTGACGGAGTAAGGGTTATGTCAGGCAGGGTTGGGGTAGACTGGCTGTTACCTAGAATGACACTGTGAGGACACTGGATGTAGGTCTATATGTAAATTGACATTTTTAGTAGAACGGGTGTGAGCTGAGCAATGCTTCAGAGAAAGTAAATCTAACAGGATTTATGAGTTGACTGTGGAGGGGTATATAACTCGAGACCCTGACCTGGGCTGGGAGCAGTGAGGTATTGCCATCATTTAGTACATTCCTGTGAATACATCTTAAGGATTCACATAGAATTGTGCCTTGAAGGACCTGTCTGAGCCAGGGAGATGGCCCAGTCAGTGGGACCTGAGTTTCATACCTAAAGCCCCATAAAAATGCTGGGCATGGTACTGTGTGCTGGAGACAAGAGGCTTTCTGGGGCTTTCCAGCAGCCAAACTAGTCTACCTGGTGAACTCCAAGCCAGCCAGAGAACCTGCCTCAAAAAAAAAAAATCAAGGTGTACTGCTCCTGAGGTATGACACTCAAGGTTGTCCCCTGTGCATATATGTACACATGTACCCGACAAGCACACACTCATACACACACACACACACACACACACACATACACACACACACACACACACACACACACACACACAGAGGCAAGAGCACATACATGCACACACACGGTATCTCTCTGCCTCTTCCCTGTCACACTGGGATACTGGGTGCTGCTGGGGACTAGCCTCATTTTTTGAGCTTTGGACATAATATAGGCCCCGGGATAAGCTATACATAGACCTCAGAGAATCCAAGCAACCAGAATTGTAAAAGCTCCAAGCTGTCTTGGGGCCCTGAATCCCTCCTTCTTTTACTGATAAAGAAACCAGCCTATGCTCAGAACCATGGCACTTAGACTGACTGAGGCACCACTTAGACCTCCTCTCTATAATGTACATCCCGGCAGCTTCCCGGTGGTCTGTCCAAATCCTCCTTTGAGGCATGTGTACAAATCCAGGGTCATTTTGGACTGGCTAAGTAGTTGTTCATCCCCCTGGCCTAACAAAGGTAACTAAGGCTCCTCCCCTGTATCTCACCCTCCCCTGGTGATGGTTTGGCCTGAATCTCCCATCCCATCATGACAATTCATTTCCTAACAGCCTTCTCAAAACACTCCTTTATTTTTGTATGTCCTGCCCTTGATTCTGCTGTCCTCCTGGGAGGCCTTCGTGTCCCTACTTTCAGCCCCACTGCCTGCAGAAGGCCCTCTATGGCCTCAGCTTCCTTCCTCCTTAGGTAAACTGAGGCCTCCCTTGTTGAAGCTCCAAGCTGCCCTGCACAGGGTGTGGTCACTGTGTCTCTATGAAGTCTTTTATTATTGTTTTGCTTGTTTGAGGCAAGGCCTCGTTATGTAGCCCAGGCTGGCCTTTAACTCACTATGTAGTTGAGGCTACTCCTGAGGAACGAGGCTGAGGCTGGCTTTGAACTCCTGATCTTCCTGTCTCCACTTCCCAAGTACTGTGTAATTTTTAAAAAAATTTTGTCTTTTTTTAAAGATAGAGTCTTACTGTGTAACCCAAGCTAGCCCAGGATCTTTCTGCCTCAGCCTCCTGAGTGCTAAAAGTCCAAGTGTGCCCCTATGCCCAGATCCATCTATAACAATAAAACAACAATTGCCTACTTATGTGTCTGTCTGCCACACCTCAGTGAAGAACTCCCTGAGGGGTAGGACCCTGGGCATGCATGATTAAATTCTCAGTGTCTACCACAGTGCTTGGTTACCTATTCGTGTTTGGTGAATTAATGAATGATGGTTGCCTGTTTGTGCCTCCTTGGTACATTCATTCATTTCACGACTCTGTATTGCATCAATACCTAGGATGGGCACCTGTGAAGTTCCTCAAATGTCAAAATAGGCCTAGGCACTCAAGCTCCAAATTATGCATGCATAAATTACGTATGCGACGCATTAACAGGCACATGGAGCACAGCGCACAGAGCTACAGAAACCAGAACCAGCAAACACAGTAAAGTGTGTGCCAGATGTCCCTGGAATCTACAAAGACCCAAGAACCAAAAGTGACAGTTAGCTCCAGACGCCCAGTAAAAGGGGGAGAAAAAAAGAAAAAGACAAAGAACAAAAGAACCTCCGGCAAAGGAAGTTGCTCTGGGTCTGTTTTTCTATCCTAAGCACACCAGCAGGGGGTGAGAAGTGGCGTGGGGGGAGAGAAGTGGGGAGGCAGGTAAAGGGGGGGTAGGTAGAGGGGGTGCAGTGGGGAGGGGGAGGAAGTGGAATGAGGGGAGATGAAGGAGTCCGTGTGACTCTGAGTTCCTCACAGGCTGGCTCTTAGGAGCTGTTTGTAAAATGCATTGCCATGCAGGAGTCGGGGATTGCTTTTCATGCGGCTGGAAATTGTTAATGGGGACTGCGTTAGCGGCCCCTTAGTGCTCTGCCTGATAGAGAGACAGCAGGTTCACCCCGGCAATTCTGGAACCCTGATCACTGCCAATTAGGGTAGCATTGTCTGGCTGACATAATCAAGTGAGTATAAATATATTTATTGTGATTGGAATGGAGAAGGAGAGTGCAGAAAGAAGGAGGCAGAGGCTGCCACCCCGTGCCTGGCTCCGGCCAGAATCAAGCCCAGGGTGCCACCCACGGTTCAGCAAAGGTGGACAGACACAGACACAGGCTTCCAGAGGTGGAAGGCACAGGGAGAATTCAGGACAAATACATTCTTTTGTCCCTTTTTCCTTTTTGCTCCTTGTTGTTATTTTTTTATTCCTTCTTACACCTCTCTGTCTCTCTGTCTCTCTGTCTCTGTCTCTGTCTCTCTCTCTCTCTCTCTCTCTCACACACACACACACACACACACACACACACACACACACACACGCTCTTCCCACTCCCCGCCCCGTGCCCTGTGAAAGCTGAGAAGAGAAGAGAAAGCAAATGCCAAGTTGAGCACATTTTCATTCTGCCCTGTTGGCCATGCTGCTTGTTCAGCTTCTCTGCAGTTCAAAGCGCAGGTGGGGGAGCATGGCCATGCAGGAGGCCTTGCCCGGCCCGCTCTGCCTCCCTGTGGCCTTGGGCTTCTGGCATGGCTGAAGACTTCCAGTGCTGTGGGGCTTCTGGGGGGATACCTCTGATGTGTCTCAGAGCTGGGGTTGAAAGACCCTGGTAAAAATAGTCCCCTGCAGTAGTCTAAATTCAGGAGGGATTTCCAGAATTTAAATGGATCGTGAAAGGAGGTTCATTTTTGTCACATCTGGTGGCGTTCCTGTGAGCCAGGAAAGCGGGTTCTGGATAGGCCACTGCACAGCTTTCAAAGTTCAGGCTGTGTCTCTTCCTCTCCCAACAAATGGCTGGGATCAGATGCAAATGCCCCAGATATGTTGTTGGGAAGAACAGCAGGGACAGAACCGTGTTACTGCAATGCAGGGACAGAACCGCGTTACCACAATGCAGTGGATCAAAGGCGTGACATTTTTTTTCTCACCCTTTCATCTCAGCTATTTTCTTTGCCTTTGTCACACGGGCACTGCTCTTTCTCACCCTTTGATGGCTGATGGCTCTCTGCAGTGGTACCACCAGCTTACGGAGACCCCATGTCTCAGGCCTGTCACGTTGGGCCCGGAGTCTGTCCTTATCATTGCTCTCTGGTCTGCCTTCCTGCATCTGTGTCTTCTGTGTGAGGACATCAGTGGGAAGGTGCAGACACACCAAATAAGTTGGTCCAGTTGGCAGAGTGCTTGCCTATTTGGATGCAGAAACCACAGCTTTCACCTTCAAGGAAACAAGAGACAGTTTATTCTGGAGCCATTTTGAGTGACCATGCCTGGACACACAGATTTAGATTACCCCAAATTCCCTGTTCTAACAAGGAAGCAGTTTCATGAAGTCTTATCATTTTACAGAACAGAGAAAGTCACAAATCAAGGTAAATAAATATAAAATACATTGGTGGGTACATCAGAGAGAGACGGGTACAAAAACATGGGGGAAGCTTTTCTATTGGCCCAAGATGCTAGCTGAGCTTTTGGGTTGGTGGAAGCTAGTGGTCTGCTAAGTTAATAGATTCTAAGATGTTTTTAATCTATTCGTCACAAGATGTTAGTTCTGACAGAGAGGTGGGCAAGGAATGGCTACTGCAGAGGGCTCGAATGAGCCAAGATAAAGTTATTAGTCTCTGGGCCTGCAACATTCCAACCTCTCCACAGTATCGCAGTTCTAAGCAGCCATTCAGTCTCTGCAGACACGCTTCTTTCCAGGAGTTCTCGCTCCGACCTGGCATGCACAAAGTCTTGGGTTTGATCTCTGCACCACATAAACCAGGTGTGGTGGTGTACGTCTGTAATCCTAAAACTTGAGAAGTGGAGGCAGGACGATGAGAAGTTCAGGATCATCCTCAGCTACATATCAAGTTGGAGGCCAGCCTGGGCTCCATGAACTACTGTCTCAAAAAAACAAAACCAAAACCAAAATCAAACAAACATACCTTTATGTAGGGGCTGGGCAGGTGACTCAGCAGTTAGGAACACTTGCTATTCTTGCTGGGGATCCAGGCTTCATTCCTGATGCCCACATCGGGCAGCTCAGGACTGTCTGTGACTCCAGCTCTAGGGGGTCCAACATCTTCTTCTGGCTTCTGGGGGCACCTGCACACATGTAGTGCATTTACAGACAAGTGGGCACACACACATATGCATAAAGTAAATAAGTAAATAAAAACTTAAAAGCCCATATTCAATCAATCAATCAATCAATTAGGAGCTTGAGTAGCAGAGATGTCACTTATAGGGTTCACTCTGCCTAAAGACATCTCGCTGCCCATGTCCAGCCTCCTCCTTTGGCAGCTCAGAAATTGCCCAGGCCAATGCCTCTCTCTAAGCTGTTCAAAATAAATATTCCCTTCACTTTTCAAATCTTAACAGGCAAAACACCTGGTTTGTTTTTTCCTTATTTTCTGTTTTCTGCTTCTTGCCGGATGTATTGGTTCATGAGAACCAGAACTCATTTGTCTCCAAGGGAGAAAGAAAGTCATTCTATATTTACCCATTAGCAAATTACCACTTAAAGGTGAAACACAGGGAACTCTCTCTCTCTTTCCCTCCGTTAACAGTAGGTTATTTGCCTTGGCTGAACCTCGGTGGATGGACAGCCGCTGTTACCAACAAGTTGGCATCATTTTCTATGTTGCATTTGTTTCCTAGAAGCAAAGAAACTTCTGGGTACTAGCTTTATGTGATTCTGCTTTTGAGAGATGTACCTGGCTGGAAATTGGTCTGATTCCATCCCTGGCATTTATGCAAGGTCTGCTGTGTTGGGGGGGGGGGGGGGCTCTACGTCCCTCTGAAATTCTCTCTACTTCCAAATTAGATGGGGTCATCAATGGGAATGCTGACTCCCTCCTAGCCTGTTGGCTTTCTGTTGTGTGGACAATGGCAGGAACTACCAGGAGCTTCGGTTTGAAGTCAACAAGACAAGGGATGGTAGGCAGTGTGACCAGGAATACATTGCCTCCCTTTTCTGCTCCTCGTCTCCTAACCATGGCACTGATGGGAACAGCAGAGCAACCTGTACACCTTCACCATCCTCCCCGACAAGGAGAAAGCCAAGTGAATGGTGAAGAGCTTGGCCAGATCACAGAACGTTGGTGCAGGTCCTAGGCGGTCCCAGGAAAGATCTTTGGCCTGAGGGTTTAGGGAACAGAAAACCTCCTGAATACACACCAGACTCTTGAGCCCTGAATCTTACAGGTTACAGCGTTTTGGTTCTTCTTAGTCATGACACTTCTGGCTACCGAGGAATAACTGAGCAGGTGGCGGCGGCGGCACAGAGATGATGAGTACCCGTGACAGTTTTCTAGTTTTGATACTGCACTGCGGGGGCTATGATGTCACCATTGGAAGAAGCTGAATGGAAAAGGATGGGTGTGGGCATTTCTCTTCTCCTTGCCTGGCAAGAAGCAGCAGCTCAGGGAAGGGGGGGTTTGTTTGGGATTACAGTTTCAAGGAATGGAGTCCTCCACAGCAGGGAAGGTACAGTAACAGAAATTCCACTTACTTGGATTTTTAACAATACTCATCTATTTTGGAATAGTTTCCAAGTTTCCATCTCTATACAGTCTGCTGTTGAGAAATGCACCTCCCTGCCTAACCCTTGCCTGGAATCTCACATTTCTGATTCCTCCCGGATCACTTCCTGTCTGTAATCCTTGACTCAGGAAGTGCCAGGGCCATCTATTGAAATGTCCCCCACGGTGGTGTTGCTATGACACCATGTCTAGGCACAATGACTTGAATAGTTTCTCCATCTTCAGGTGCCTTTGCCTTCCAATCTCCGTAATGCCACCAGAGACGTTAAATGGAATCTCAGTGTGTCTGCAGCACATTTTCCAGAGATGAGATGCTCTGTGACCTGCCTCCACCCCAGTCACTCATCCTGTCTTCTGCCACTCCACAGGGTCCCCATCTTGCCTTTGCTCACGGCACTCTCTGTGTGTGTCACACTGCTGGGTTCTCTATTCTGCCTGCCTTCTGGTTTGCAAGGCTGGGCTCAATTGCCGCTTGATTGAGGAAGCTTCTCCTTTGAACCTGACCACCTGCAGTTTGGTTCCTTTATCAACATGGCCCGAATCTTTGGCTAGCTAATCTATCCTTCTGATAAAGCTGTGAGCCTCTCAAGTTCTAGTCCATTCTGGGTCTCCATGCTCAGCAAAGTGCCTGGTGCAGAGTAAAGCTTGGGAGAGGTTGTCGAATGGATGCACACAGCCTTGAGATCAATGGCCCTGTGCTGGGGATGTAGTAGCTTAGTGGGTAGAGGGTTGGCCTAGCAAACCAGAGACCCTGGGTTGTGATTCCTAGCACCACCTAAAGTAAGGTATGGAGGCACACAGGCCTGAAATCCCAGACACTCCAGAGTCGGATGTCTCTGCTAGACTTGGGGATGCCTGTAATTCAGACACTCAGGAGGCAGTAGAATAGCAAGTTTGAGGCCAGCCTGAGCTACACGGTAAGAGCTGGGTGGGTGAGGGTGATTGTGTGAGACTTTGTATCAAACTTCCCCCAAAACAAAACCAAAATAATAATAATGATGATAATAAAAATAACAATATAATAATAATAATAATAATAATAAAAAAAAAAACGATGCCTCGGAGAGACAGAAAGTGAGAGCTCAGTGAAGTCAAGACACGGAAAATAACCTGGGGAGAAAAGGTCACTTCCTAAAATAAAGGGAAAGGTCTGGGCAGAGGGTCAGTGACAGGAGACTTGAAATAATGAGAGAATATAAAAAGGAGAATATCATGAGGGGGGTGGAGAGACCGAGAGAGAGAGACAGAGAGAGAGAGAGAGAGAGAGAGAGAGAGAGAGACTGAGAGACCGAGACTGAGAGACTGAGACTGAGAGACCGAGACCGAGACAGAGACTGAGAGCGCAGATGTACAATTGGGACTGTTGGTGGTTTTGTAACTTCCTCTAAGATGGTTCCAGGAAGAAGTGAGGTTCTAGGAAGACACAAATCACATACAGAAAGGATGAGGTATCATCAGCCATTCAAGAGTATTTGTCACCAGGGCTACATACATGGATGACACAGGCAAATGTCAACCTGGTGGCTACGTGACGAGATTACTAATGATTTCCTGGGGCTGGTGCCCAGGAATTTTGTGCTGTGGTGCAAATGCCGAACAGGAAACTGTGACCAGTTATAGGTATGAGAAAGTGGGCAGTGATTCTGAAATAATGATAGGAAATGCCAGAATAATCACGAGGGAAGCATAGGAATACTGAAGAGGCCCCAGAGGATCCCTGCTCTGCCCACGATGGGTTACAAGAGGAGTCGCTTAGAAAGCAGGAATTCCAATGCATAAAACCTACCAATAATGGCTAAAGCTCAACTTGGACCCACAAGTATTAAAAGTAGCAAATCAGCCGGGCGGTGGTGGCGCACGCCTTTAATCCCAGCACTCGGGAGGCAGAGCCAGGCGGATCTCTGTGAGTTCGAGGCCAGCCTGGGCTACCAAGTGAGTTCCAGGAAAGGCGCAAAGCTACACAGAGAAACCCTGTCTTGAAAAACCAAAAAAAAAAAAAAAAAAAAAGTAGCAAATCGCCAAAGGTGGGGACATTAGGAGGTATGACCTTCTGTGGCTCCCAGGATGCAGGAATGAGAATATAGACCTCTGCATACAGCCCTCCCCACACACCTGGAGATGTGGCTCAGTGGCAGACCATGTGCCTAGCATGCACAAGGCCCCGAGTTCTGTCCCAAGGATGCAGAACATTTTATAGTAAGAATTCTAAAGCCTTCCTTCCACAGCTGCTGGTCTGATTGCTAGCCTGCATTCTCCCCAGGCTTCAAGGGGCAGACTTGGTGTCAGGGGAGAAGTGGAGCTGAGAGGGAGACAGGAACAGGGGCTCCTGGCCATTATTCTCAGCGGGAGTACAGTCTACCACTTAAGAGATTCCTGTGGTGAAGGTAAACATTTGCCACGTGTGCATACTAACTTATTTCTCTGAAATTGAAGTTTAATTGGGCACTTTGTGTTTTGCCTGGAAACCTGGCTGAAGGAGTTACATTTCCACACTCTTACCTCCTTATTAGCTGCTCAGAAAAATAAATAGGTTAATGTTTTCCATGTCCCAATAACTAGCGCTCATTGCTCGCCTGTTCTGTACCAGGCACTTCACTAAATGTTTGAGATGAACATTTTATGTTTCACCATCCCCAAACACTAGGAAGACTGCACTGTTAGTTCTGTTTTGTGCTTTCTTTTCTCTCCTCTTTTTAGAGAGTCTTACACTGTGCCCCAGACTGGCCTAAGACTCACTATGGAGCCCATTCTGGCTCAAACTCACGGCAATCCTTCTGCCAAAGATCCTCAAATGCTGATATTGCAGATGTGAGCCACCATGTCTGGTTTTAGCCGCGTCTTTTTAAAAACAGGAAAACCTCTAGGCTCCATGGCACACACGTGTAACACACACGTTACCCACATGTTGAGAAGCAAAGTCAGGAGGGTTGTGAATTTGAAGTCAGCTTGGGCTACACAGAACGTCCCCGACGGGAAGGAGCTGAGGCTCGGGGTGCATTTGGATAACTATCTTGGGGTCACATTACCCAGAGAGCTAGTGGAAGGGCCCAGGTTTGCACAGCATCAGGCAAGAGAGAGACACACCAGTGCTCACAGAAGAGTCAGAGAGAGTGAGGCCAGTTGATGTGACAGAGGACGAGCCCCAGGTAAAACAGTCGATCTTACGCCAGGAGTCTTGATATCCTTAAGAAAATGCACTCTTGCTGGGCAGCGGTGGCGCACGCCTTTAATCCCAGCACTCAGGAGGCAGAGCCAGGCGGATCTCTGTGAGTTCGAGGCCAGCCTGGGCTACAGAGTGAGATCCAGGACAGGGCTACAGAGTGAGATCCAGGACAGGCACCAAAGCTACACAGAGAAACCCTGTCTGGAGAAAGAAAAAAAAAAGTACTCTTTTTTGTTTGTTTTGTTTTATTTTTTCAAGACAGAGACTCTTTGTGTAGCTCTGGCTGTCCTGGAGCTCATTTTGTTCACTAGGTTGGCCTGCCCCCCAAGTGCTGGGATTAAAGGCATGCACCACCACCACCCAGGTAGAAAAAGCACCCTTAACTTTAGACCGACACG